TCTGTAGACTCATCTAGATCAACAGAGTGATCAGCCGTATGTGGAGTGGTGTCATGCTTATTGTTCGTGTGTTTTAAACTATTTGCTGTGTTGCAAACTGTCTCTGGCTGATTATTAACTGTAACACTCCCATTCAATTCTATCGCTTCGCGTCTTCTTACACGACGTTGACAGGGCGTAAGGTCTGGAGTGACTTTTATATTCTTGTATGGAATTAGTGAGCTAATATTTTTGCTCAAATCAATAAACTGCTTAGCATCGTTACAACAGCCAAACATAAACAAAAGGGGGCAAGTCGATCTGTCTGACTTTTTTCTAAGGCGGATGACTTTGCAGTTAACGTTCGGCATACCGCATGCTCTAAGGCAAATATCCCTTAACTTAGATGGGTGTGTGCGGTCGGGGAGGTTATACACAACTGCATTGAAGGAGGACATCACTCTCTTCGTCACTTCTTCAGCCACAAACTCCAAAATACACTCAGCTTTAGTGAGTTGCTCAAGATTTCTGTCTGTATCAAGGCCCCATATATGAGTGAGGGGTGCTAATTGCTCAAGTTTGCCGTTAATTTCGGATAGAGAGTTTTGTAGCTGTCGGATGTCATTACTATATCTATCAGTATTTTGGTGTGTATGAGGTGGACCATTGGACTCTTTAGTTTTTGAAATTTTAGATTTAGGCCTTGGTAGCACATACTGTCTAGTAGACTGTGCTGACTTTTCGATGCACGTAGGTATAGTGTCTTGTATGTCAACCAGTCTTACCGTTGGCATACTGCACGTAAAGATAGAGGGGCTGCGACATGGAGAATCTGGTGACGATAGAGACATTTGTGTACAATACACATATTTTTCAGTAGTTAAAGGTTCGACATTGTCAAGCACTGAGTCGTCAGTTGTAGGGGTTACAGATTTGGACCTTTTATTTGGCTTAGAAGTTGGTGAAATTCCTCTTTTACTGGAGTTATTGGACATGATATGAATACAAGTGAGCACAGTGCTCGTTAAATTAAATATAATATCTGAGTATTAGTTGTTATTAAGTATTAACCTGGTTAATACTAGGATTAGAGACTGTGAGTATATAATAAATTGCAGATCTATTTACGACTTAAGTCCGCAATAGGTACAATACGAACTGGTAATTGTCCGTCGAATAAAAATAAGTTTTTTCCTTATTTTTCGGGGTAAGATGTACCCGATGTACAGGATAGGATGGTAATCACAGTATAATACACCCTACAAAAGAGCAAGTCGAAGAATTCCTAAACCACGTGAAAAAATGTTGCCACTTTCGAAGTTCGTGCAAGTTGTGTATTAAGTCGTGATTTAAAAACAACTACGCATTGCAAAGCCGCCGCTGTCAAAGGTTTTCGTGCGTTATGGTCACTTCGCCGAGCGTTCAAATCTTTTGACGAGGAAACGTTTCGGATTTTATATCCCATATATGTTAGATAACATTTAGAGTACTGTATCCAAGCAGCTAGCCCGTGTCTGGTGAAGGATACTAACTCCCTTGAGCGTGTGGGAACGAAATTAGTGAAAGGTTTTTCTAGACTCCCTTACGATGAGCGTTTGAAACGCCTAAATCTTTTCCCCTTGTCCTATCGTAGGACACGAGGTGACCTTATACTGGCATTTCGTATCTTTAATTATGATTTGAGTGTTAATATGTCTTATCTTTTTGCTCCCTCCAGCACTCTCCGAGGTCATAGCAAAAAGGTTCATAAACCACGATCTAATAAACTTAAAGTGGGGTCCCGTTTTTCTCATCGAGTATTCAATCATTGGAACGCCTTACCTGAACAAGTGGTATCAGCCCAATCAGTGAATACTTTCAAGGAGAAGCTGGACCTTCACTGGAAAGTAATGTGTCAGGATTATTACAGGTTCACCAACCTACTATCCCTATTACTGAAGACTGATCGAGAAAGCGGGAACAGTGAATCGAATTAATTCGACTTGATCTTATGACATGGCTCGGCCATGCAGGTGTGGTCCCTGCTGAATGTTACCTTACATCTTTTATTCATATTAAATATATTGGTCTTACTCTAGCCTAAGCTTGTTCTCCATCATGTATTGGTAATTGTCACAATCCAGTGAGTTGGTGTAGACGTAAGATCTTATAGATTCAGATTTGTGCAGTAAGGACAGAAGGCCTACGGCCTGTTTTATTCCTTTTCTAGTATGCTTCTGTGAGTGTCCATTGTTCTCTTGAAAGAGATAATTGCAGGTGCGGACACCACTGCTTCGGGCAGCAGGTTCCATATATTGATGAGTCGGTGTGAAAACCTGTATGTCATGGTTATTTTGTTTGTTCTTGTCTTTTCTACTCGCCTGCCATGTCCTCTGAGATGTCCCGATCTAGTGGGACGAAAAAGAGGTTAAGTTAGGTCCAAAATCATTTCTCAGTATTCTGTACATCAAAATTAGATCTCCCCTTAATCTGCGATAGGACAGAGTAAGAGGTCCAGCTTTTCAAGCCGCTCTTTTTATGGTGCACCCCGGAGTTCTTGAATTGCACGGGTAGCTACCTTCTGTACTTTTTCTAGGGTATTCGAGTCACATTTTAAACGGGCTTGCGGCCTGAACACAGTTCTCAAGCCTAGTTCTCACTAAGGATGTGTATACTGTGGTGAACATGGTATTATCTAACTTATTGAATGTCCGTTTTAAAGCCCATAGGGTTTGAAACCCCTTAGCTGCGACCTCCCGGCAATGGGCTGTCGTCTTGAGATAATGACTCACTGTCATCCATAGATCCTTATGAGACTGGACCACGGGTAATGACACTTCCCCTATGTTGTACCTATTAACCCTTGAATCCCCAAAGTGCATGTAGACACACCTTGCCGCGTTGATAAGCATCAGCCACTCTTTAGACTAGTTAATCAAATTATATAAGTCTGCAAGTTATTACTCGCCAAATCTTTACATCGTCAGCGTATAATAGTATTGGAGACTGTACTATACTTGGAAGATCATCAGCATACATTATAGAAAGTAAAGGACCTAGGACGGAACTTTGAGGTACCCCACTAAGTACTGGTCTCCAGATGGAGGACTTGGAATTTATTCTTACTTTCTGTCTACGACCTACTAGGAAATCCTTAATCCACTTTAAAAGAGGTCCGGCAATACCAAGGTTTTCCAACTTCAATGGCAGTCTATTATTTGGCACCTTGTCAAAAGCCTTAATGAAATCTATGTAGACAACATCCACTGAGTTTCCGTTGTCTAGCGCCTTTATCCAAAACTCCCTTGGTATAAGGAGGTTCGTTTTACAAGACTGAACCTTTCTAAAACCATGTTGTTCTATGTTTAGCAAGTTATTGGTTTCCATAAATGCTGTTATGGTCCGTTTGATTATTCTTTCCAGTATTTTAATTACAACACTGGCGAGGCTTACGGGTCTGTAATTTGATGGAACTTGTCTTGGTCCTGTTTTATGTATGGGAGTGACGATTCCGTCCTTCCAGTCCATAGGTAACACACCTTGGTCAAGTGACCGCGATATATTGTGCAATATGTCTCAAGATTTTGGGGTGTAGTTCATCTGGTCCTGTTGACTTTTCCATGCTTAAGGTGCTAAGAGCTTTAAGCACATAGTCTTGATCGAAGTTCACGGTGAGCAGGTGGTTTGTTGACTGTTTATTTTGGTTTGGTTCTTTGTCTAGAGGAGGTTCCTGAGTAAAAACTGCCCCAAAATAGTCAGCCATTGCCTTTGCTTTTTCCTGATCTTCCTCTATCATTTCAGATTCACTTCCTTCTTTAATTAGGTTGGGAATCCAATGATTCATTCTTGTTCTGTAGTTTATGTACGAGAATATTCTCTTGGGCTGCTTGAGTGTGTATTGTGCCAACTGCATTTCATATTTTATTTGAGCTTTCCGAATCTTTGTTATACACTTGTCTCTTAACGATCTGTAGCGTTCCATCGTACTTGCTGTGCCAAGGCGGATGGCAACATCCCAACATTTCTTCTTGTGCCTTAGTAAACGTCGAATATCCCGGTTAACTAGAATCGACTTCCCTTCTTCAACCGTGGCAAACGTTACCTTCAAGAGGCGGCTTTTCTAAGGACTTCCAGAATCCACCTTGTGTCCTATTCTATAAAGCTTACAAATACTAACTCCTGAAACTGTTTCTTGGAGTAGTTTGCATATTAAGAACTTAATACGACTGACATCGTGTTCAAATCTAGCCTTTGGTTCCTTATTGGAAGACTCTCTTAACTTATGTAAAATGATTGAACTCTCAGAGTTATCTGTCTTGATACGCAGTGAAATTATTGTTTCTGATACCGTCTCTTCCAATGACTTGCTAACCAGCTGCATTTTACCTACAGTTTTTGTCCGTAATGAAGTCCATTTAACATAACTCAGGACAGCCACACCGGGACTATATGGAACGGTGACAGTTTTGTCCAGGTCTTCAATTTCCACTAGAAGTGCATGATTACTGATGTCAATATGAAGCGGCACTTCACTTCTCGTTAAGGTTAAGGGAGACTTCACTTCCCCGTCAATAACAGCCGGGTGTTTAGGGGGCCGGTAGCAGCACGTACTACACTGACACATTCTTCACCGTCAGTGCTCATGTTATCAGCGCAACCGCCATCGTTTTTCTTACAGGCCAAAGCCAACATGCTCATAGCCTCCTGAATTAGTAACTTATTATTTGTACAGCAAAATATACAAGGGCAATGCGAGTTAGGCCGTAGGACTTAGACGTGTACACGTCTTATGGTACCACCTTTTACATTCATCGCATTGCATTCCTTCCTCAACGTGGAACAAGCAGTTTGGTTGTCCACATTTAGGAGTCTTATTAACCGCTGTAATTTGATTTAGAAAATTTTCAATCACAATGCGAACACGAGTGTCAGTCAATGAGTAAAAAAGGGTACCACAGGACAGAGTTTAGCAAAAATTTCAAACCTTAACCAAAGTACTTTTAGTTAAAGTAGATCAAGAAAGCTTTTTGGTGCAACAATTACACAAAGCAAGGATAACCACAAGTACAAAAATCACTATGTAACACGTGCAATCAGCAGTCACTGGAAAGCGGGAAGACCTAAAGCCACAACAAACACAGTGTCAACTGAACACTTCACACCACAGAGGGAACATGGAATGGAGACCACCAGTCGTTTATTTGAAAATTAAAATTCGCGGGTTATATACAGAAAAGAGAGCTAGTATACAAAACGGTCTTGTGAGTCGTCCTGTAAGTTTAGTGCATGCAGAGCTTTCTCTTCTTCTTCTAAAGCATTTATTCTTGCTTGCACTGCAATAAAAAAAACAAAATCTATTAACAACATCATGATTTTAATCCCGTTACAACTATGAGCGCACTAAAGTTATATCACGACAAATCTACAATTTTAGGATAAGGTCTATTATTAGAGCAGTACTAATACCCATAGTAGACCATAATTCTACATTGGTAAGCCAGACTAAAGAAACGCAAACTATTATTGTTAGTCCGTATTTCCATTTTAACTTTTTCGATCGATTTTATTTGTGTAAACCCATTATTCTAATAGTCCTCTGATTAATGCTCACATGTATTGTCGTAATGTTATATTGATTAGTACTCAACTTACTAGCTCGATCGATAATAAAAACTGGTTGTCTGTATCAATTATTAGCTTTGATGGTTCATTAACAAGCTTTGATAGCGTTTACATGCTTCAGCGAAATAAACTTGTTTAAACATCAAGGTCTATCAAATATGACCTGTAAATAACGTAAATATATATTGACTAGCAACGTAGGCAGGGGCTAAATATTTATCTGAATCTAATTCTTCATATTGTTCGTTCACTTAACGTCTCATTGTGTCGTAAACTATGCACTATCCTGTAATATCTTTTCTTCCGACCACTGCCTGCCTAATTTCCAATTGCTGAGTCCCATGGCTAAACACAGAATATGAATGCCAGGAACTTACGGTGAGTTTGCACCATAAATCTCTTACAATCTTAGATCTCGCTTTAACTGTTCGTCAAACTATACTACGTATTTGGTTTCAATTAATTTTGGACTTATACAAATCCAATCTTCAATGCTTTATTGATCCAAGAGTTTAATCAACAGTGCCTCGTGTATAATCCAAGTTCGAATTACTGTCCAATTCAAATTTTCATTACTTGGAAGCGAAAATAACCCAGGCGAGTTTTACAATTTTTCCCCTTTCCTGGTTAATTTACTGTGTTTTTAGCACTTCTTTACTTACATAGATTTTTTCTGTTACACTGGTTGTATATATTTCATATGAGCCATTCCCAAGACCTTTTGGTAGAAATATTTAGTATTTCTATACTACACCATGCTATTAAAGAAAAGTGTGTTGTTTAAAGGCATTTCTTAGTTCCAGTTGCTTTTGCCACATATTATTAAATATCACCAGGCTAAATGCACGATCTTATGGAAGCTTTTTTAGCTCTTCATAATCCTGACTGAAATTCCATAAGCCGTCTGAACTTCAAAAATATTTTTCATTCTGGCCATGTTTATTTTTAAATTGTCATATACCTAAATAACCTGCATGTTAACCTGACCCGTACATGTGTTTCATTATATCTCGGTCTTCTAAATTTAAAAACCATTTGAATCGCCTTTCACATTTTTCAATGAACCCATTATAGTCGTTATTGCTATAGGTATTTGGGTTTATAAATTGGTCTATCATATTAATAGCCTAAAAAACATATTTTAGATAGTAAAATCACCAAATTTAGGTACTAACATACTGCACTAGTATAATAACTAAACTATCAGGTAGTTCTTGGCTAAACAAACATTTAAAATTAAAACTCCGGAACCTATTACTAAAATTAACACCAGACGAATATTTTTGAATTGAAATTGAAAATATAATCAGGCAGCTCGAATTCTTTAATGCCACAAATTTCTGGTAATTTCGAATCACCTAAATCAACAATACCTATTTTTCCACTGACTGATCCTCAATCAACACTATTACTAGTTAAACATAACGGTTTCAGGATGTCCTCATAAAGCATTGTCATGACTTGACAATCACGTAATATGATTGGTAAAATTGATGAAACTATTAACAAAATAGGTCAGCAAACTGACTTATAATTATCATTAAGCTTAATTTATCAATTCAAATTGTTTGTATTTTCTTGTAAACTCCATTTATTCCATAGTATTCGTTTTGGTGATGTATCCATCAATAATGTTTAATTTAATTAATTCACCAAGTACAAGTTTTTTGTATTCAGCTTTAAGCCACACAGTTTATGTGAGGACTAGTGATACTACACAGCTACCTTAAACTAGGCACTAATAAGCCACTGTTCCATCAATAACTCTCTTTAAACTATCCTCAAAACAAAATTGTTTACGGTAAATTAAGAATATTTTTCCAAAATATCAACCGGTTTGAGACTCAGATTCCAGTAGTGATTGCTATCTCTCTCATAGATTGTTTTATAAGCATAATAATATGTGGTAGGATTAATTAGATTTCCTGACGTTTCGTGACTCAGTGTAAGCTAAGTTTAAGTAGTACCTACCACTATTTTGGTTATTTATTTTCCGAAGAAGTCGCCTACACTGAGTCACGAAACGTCAGAAAATCTAATTTTTCTACTCATTGGAATATTAAACATATTATTTTTATTTATAACAATCTGCCTAATGCTCAATTTATTTGCCCCCAAATGCCCTGGTACAGCCGAGAGTGGGGAGAGCCCGCTCTCCCTCTCAAAATGCTCTCACATGGCCACGCGCATAGCCTCTGCCAGGGAGGTCCTACACATTGCCTTCTTGAGGCTGGGGTTTTGTTTACGAAATTGAGAGGACGAAAAGCGAGTGTCTGGCGCTTTAACCGGGTTGGTGAACATGGAGATTCCACCTATGGGAGTTGGAAAACCCTCATTCCAAACCAATGGTGCACATGGGCTCCAGGATCCTGAGGAAACAAACGGTGTATGAACCAATCGTTGGTCACCGGCTACCATGGGACTACATCTCAACACGATGGTCCATTGCCTTGTGGATCAGAACTTCAGGTCGAAGGCTCCCGGTGTGGCTCCCTAAGGAAACCACCTGCTTTGATTTGAGCACCCGGGCAGTATCGCAGCCCTCACACATATGTATTTGCTCCCTCCTTGTACTAACATGTTTGTGTTAAAATAAATAATAATAAATCATTATATAGTATTGTTTTTCTTTTATCTTCATTCACAGACGATTACAGTAAGTTTTTCTGTCAGTTGCTCATTCACTAAATATCTCTAAACCTTGTCAGTCTAATTGGAGGTTTAGTGACACAATCATGCATGCAACTAATCAGTATAAGCAGTCGAGCGAATCTCCTGCAAACTGAAAACATCAATGTGGAGTTTACCCCAACACTAAGGTTCAAGCCATTATCATAGACGTAAGTTGGGAGTGTACTCCTCTTGGTTACAACTTATGTTCTCCCTGATAATCACTCGAGCATTACTCACTGTTAATCATCTTGTAAAGACTTATTTAGCCGAAGATATCTTGCAGCACCACATCACCTATAATTGTGGCACATAGGCTTAGTTGATTTCAATAACTTATGATCACTATATCTCAATGAAATCGTATTCCGTCTTATACTAAACTGCATATTGCAACTAACTAGTATTTACCATCAGCCGGTAGGTATGAATATAAATAAATAGGCTATGGTAAATCAGAACATTGAGTCTAGAGCATGTCTCACGAATACACTAATGTTTAAAGATTTGTTCTTAGCCATCTGTTCAAAATTCACATAATTAACACTTTTCACGTACTTAAATTTTTTCTAGTAACCATTCATATGTATTAGTAGTATTACTAAATTCTATCACGGTCAAGTAAAAATGAGTTCAAGAAAATCTCACCGTAACTAAATAAACCGTATCAAACCAACTGGAACACTAGTTGGAATTCTTCTTTTCCACGGTTATACTTTCGCTCCTTCAGTTAGCCTACTAATACAGATGCAATTGGAAAACAACTTACTGGCATAAGCGTTATTTGACTTCATAATTTAAACCAACATTAGTACCAATATTAACATTCCTACAAAACTGATTGCTTTCAATATTTCTCAACACTAAATATGTACTACCTATAAGTTAATTTGTTAACACGCATCTTGCGGCGACTTATTAAAATAGAATCATTTTATTCTTATTATCCCATTTTTTAGCCCAAATATTCATTTTAAGCGTATTAGGCACTAAACCAGACATTTTAAAATCATTAAATGTATTTCCCGACCAGATGCTGCCGCTATTTTGATTTATCTTTCAGTATACCAGTACCCGGAGTATTCTTCGTGACCACGGACGCGCGACAATCCAATCCAGTTTGATATCGAACCGACATCACGTTGCTTCTGGTGGGAGAGTAGTCTAGTGGCACTGGACTATAACCATACAATCCTCAAAGCTAGACACGAGACTACTCGGAAAATAGATATTCAATACTTAACGCGGAGAAGTACCTAGCGATAGAGAAAGCGGGAACAGTGAATCGAATTAATTCGACTTGACCTTGTGACATGGCTCGTCCATGCAGGTATGGTCCCTGCTGAATGTTACGTTATATCTTTCATTATTAATAAATATATTGTTCTTCCTCTAGCCTAAGCTTTTTATCCATCATGTATTGGTAATTGTCACAATGCAGTGAGTTGGTGTAGACGATTATGTAACTTCCACGTAAGATCTTAGATTAGGCAATTATATCATGACATCTACAACTTTAGGATTAGGTCTATTATTAGAGCAGTACTAATACATGTAGACCATAATTCTACAAAGCTGACTCACCGTTGGAACTTACACTTACTCATTATGATGCATGTTTCCTTTCCTATTGCACCACTAATACTTTATCATGTTTAGTCCATTATACTGTATATATTGAAAATTCCAAACTACTAGATGTGGACACAGTCGAGTCTTATTTCAATGTCAGCACTTCTACATGCGTGATATATCTTCCCACTACACAGTAGGACAACTCACTTATCAACTGTTGGAGAGACTTCATTCGCTCATCCCACTGAATTCGCATACAGCTAACATCGGCTAGACACACTTCGTTTAGCATTCCGGTTAAATCTGATGTTGTCGTTAGGAAACTAATCAATGTCACATTGACTATGAAATATACAAGGTTAGGAGAGATAACATGCTAGGGGAGCGTACAGGCCAAATGGATTCTAACTGTCGGTCAGTTAGCTGCAATGTATGACCAGGCACGTGTATGCATTGGTCTAGGTTGTCACACCTCATTAGCACAACATGTAGAACACCAAATTCATAGAGGTAGTTTCTCCAATGGTAGTAATATATAAAAGACTGGTTGTGCGCAAGAATATAGCACAGGAAGAAATAAACTAGTTGTAATATCAAGGTTAAAGAGAAGACAAGTAGTCTGCATGTATCAACATGGCTCAGACTAGAAGTTGGTGACTGATGCCAAGTCTTGGTTTGGCCGCCTCTAACTTTCAGCCGTCCTTAACACTACTCCGCGTTGGACGTCGTGACAAACTAGTCTATATAAGCCGATAGAGGAACAAGTGCTGACGCACCCGTATTCTCCCAGCCACTGTTGTAACAATATCCTCACAGAAGCACATACGCAAAGCCACCCCTTTTCCAAATCGTTCACACGTGTGTTAGTGAACAACATAACGATAAAGTGAAGTGTAACCCCAGAACATCGCTTAGCTGCACCCAGGCTGGGGCTGAGAGTGTTCATCACAAACTTTCATCGAAACACCACATTTTGTGTCTAGCAGCACATACAAGTGACCTACAATGTTTGCTGGATGAAAAACTAATTACTAAGGTGAGCAACTGGGATCGGACTAGAGAGAAACAACTTCATTTTGATAGGTGCCGAGCAATAACTAACCTTGAGGATCAGACTAACCACGGGTCTAACTGACTGCTTTCCAAATTTAACTACTAAGAACAAAATCATGCAATTTCGATATTTATTCCGTTGAAGGTAATAATCACTCTTCATCACTTCCGTTCTCGTCGTCACCACCTTGGGCTTTACGCTCCTTTTTCCTTTTGACACGACCTGAAGAATTAGGAAAATACTGTAGGTGAGCTTACCAGGGCGACCACAACCATATGGAGATGTTGTACTGTATTCTATATGTTTTCCTGAGTCCAAACGTACCAGAAACCCAGGACAGTTAACCATCTGTTTCCTCACTCTTATGTGCCGTTGGCGGATGAGGACTCTGGCATGATGGATGCTTCTGGCCAAACCAAGTTTAAAAACTTGAGTTTGAAGTCTTCGTTCTAAAAAGTCTTCTATCTTCAAGCCCAAAACGAAATCCAGTTTCATCTTATCTTCGGGAAGTACACCAACTCGAACTAAGCGTCTCAGCAGAGCGGACCCTTAAAATGAAGGACAAAGTAAAACTGGTACCTCCAAAAAGCCGTCTGGGGTCTTTATCATCCAGTGTCAGCAACTCGCGGGCTGACTTACGTATCTTGGCTAAGACATATTTTACTCTCCATACTTCGCGTTTGTTGCGCAGACCATATTCACCAATGAGCTTTAACTCTTGGTCCAAACGCTCCTTTTCAAACGGTCTCCGCGGAGTCGCATAGGTCTTGCCAAAAACTTTAGGCACTCTACTCATTTCTCACAACACCAACGTGAAGGGATCTAAATCGAGAGCCCCCAAGTTCCTTGTAGACCAAGTGAAACAAATTTCAATATACAATGACTGTAGCAACATCATAGGGGCTGAATATGATTAACAGTGAACAGTCTTATTCGGCCATAAATGTACTGAGTCATCACTATCTTCTATCGCACTAAGTGTTTAATTACGATCAGAAGGCCACTTAACACTTGGAGGATTAAGTCCTGATCAGCTTCAGTCTGGAAAGGACAGGAGGCTGGGTGGCCTGTGTGAGTCCAAACAATGGTGGCCTCTTGATTGATTCATCTTCCTTCGAGTGTATGGACAGATGAAGCTTCACTCACGTGTCAAGATAACGAGTTCCACTCGTTGGTGATTCGATGGGAAAGTCGATAGTCAGCTAACGAGTGATTTGTTCCGGACTTGTGAACTTTTTTAGAGAGTCCTCGTAAATGCTCCGTTTTGGAAGACAAAAAATTATGACATGTCAGGTGTGAATTTAACAGAAAGTAACTTAAAATCTATGATGAAGTCACCTCTTGTCCTTCTGCATGACAATGGCTACAGGCTTCATTTAGACAGGCTCTCTTCATACGAGAGATTAGTGATCTCGGAAATCAACACGCTTGCGATTGTTAAAACCTTTTTCAACAGCTCACTGTTGTTTTTAGGCGAGGACTAGCTGTTTGTACACAATACTCAAGTTTAGTACGAATGAACTCTGTATAAAAAGTAAATAGGATTTCATCATCGGTATGGCTGAATACGTACTGACCATATAGTTCTAAAACCCTTGGCGGCTATCGCACTACAGTGTGAAGTAGCTTTCAAATCTTGGCCGACGAAGACTCTCATGTTGTTATATGTCTGGACGGCAGGTAGCTGAGTGTTATTCACCGTGTATGTGTCTGTACGTTGGTAATCAATATGCACCATAATGCACTTGGAAGCATTTATCTGCAGCTGCCGAGTTCTAGACCATTTGAAATTTTCCCGAGGTCCCTTTTAAACTCTAAGCTATCACTTTCACTTTTCATCGCTCTCCATATCTTGACGTCGTCAGTGTATAGCAAGATCGATGATGATAGGAGGCGAGGAAGACCGTTTGCACACGGGGAGAACAGCAATAGCCCCAAAACTGTACGCTGAGGCACTCCGCTAAGCACAGTTTCTCAGCTAGACGGCTTGCAGTCAACCAGTGCTTTATTTTGACGCCCAACTTGGATTTCCTTTATTCACATAAATAGTTTACCACCAATCCAGATATCACTTAATTTAGATAACAAGCGGTTGTGTGGGACTTTGTCAAAAGCCTTTCTGAAGTCGATGAAGGCTGAATTTGTAGGTAACATTTAAACTTCAAAGGGGCCCCAAGATTTATGGGCCATCAACAAGTTCGTAGGAAATGAGTAACCTGTTTTAACACCGTACTGCTTTGCAGAAAGAATCCGGTGTCGGTCTGGATACTGTGGTGTTGAATAGATCCTCAGAATCAATAGCTCTGTAAGTCTTCGACATTCGTACCGACCTCATCAGCTTCACTGGACACGCCCCAGATGAAGGCGCTCGATCACACATCCACAACTCATCATGAGTGGGTACTCCGTGCTACGCATCCCTTGTAACTGTTAGCCAGCTTAGAAACAACGCTTCCCGTCATATCGATAGCCTTTCAAATATATTCTCAAACCACTTCATTTCTTACTTCCGATTTGACTGGGTTGGTATACTTCACTTATAATTGTGTTATTGGTCCTAATTAGTTTTAAACAACTGAGCAATATAACGATCGTCTTCCACTAAAGATATAATAGTACAATCTACCCATAACTCTAGGACGTTGCCTCTCCTCTTATTGCTTCGGTTTACATACGAATACAAACTTTTGAGACATTCTATAAAAGCATTAGGAAGATTTACCTCATTCACTCTTATGGACTTACTGAGATTGCGACATTTGGGCAGAAAACTTTAACCCTAGATTTGGGGTTCAGGAGGCAATTCCCTTGGGTTTTCACGGTAGCCGACTTAGATCTGGCAATACTGGGGATGGACTTTCTAGAGAGATACGAATTTCTAGTTGACACCAAGAAACGGCGATTAACACTAAAAGAAACTTCGTATTACACAAAAGGCAAAGAAAGTCACATCAGCTCTCTTAACTTGATTCAAACTCCCCAGTAACAACAGCGAAATTCCAAGATATACTCGCGGAATTTCCAAACTTAACTAAACCAAACCCACAGCCTTCTAAAGACAAACTAAAAGTAAGTCACACTATCAAAACCGAAGGTGCACCGGTGTTTGCAAAACCCAGGAGACTAGCACCAGATAAGCTCAAAATCGCTAGGGCCGAGTTTGATTATATGCTACAATTGGGTATTATCCGTCCCTCTGATAGTCAATGGGCATCCCCTTTGCATATGGTCCCAAAGAAGAATGAAGGTGACTGGCGACCGTGCGGGGATTACAGAGCCCTAAACCGTCAAACCGTACCAGATAGGTACCCAATACCTCATATCCAAGATTTCACCAACGGTTTACAGGGTATGAACATATTCACTAAAATTGACTGATGAAGATATTCCCAAGACAGCTATTACTACACCCTTTGGCTTATTCGAGTTTGTACGCATGCCATTCGGCCTGAGAAATGCGGCACAGACATTTCAAAGATTCATAGATAACCTACTTCGAGATATGCCATTTGCGCAGGGGTATATAGACGACTTGTTAATTGCCAGCCCCGATTTGCAATCACACGAACAGCATGTACAAGCAGTGTTGAAAAGACTGGATGAACATGGAATAAACATACATCAAAGTGTGTTTTCGGTGTTCAAACTTTAGAATTTCTCGGTCACACAATAAGCCCAGAAGGGATTAAACCTATCAAAAAAGAAGTGGATACCATCAAACAATACCCCGTACCTAGTTCTCTAACACAACTGAGAAGTTTTCTAGGCCTAATTAACTTTTATCGCAGATTCATACCAGGTTGTGCACAATTAATGCAACCTTTGACAGATTCACTTAAAGGAAAACCAAAAGAATTCAAACTGTCTTCTGACGCCATCGAAGCTATTAAACAGCTTAAAGATAAACTGGCTCAAGCAACTACGTTGATATATCCGAATTCTCTTTCCCCACTTGCTTTGATGGTGGATGCTTCAGATAAAGCAGTAGGCGGTACCCTTAACCAACTGGTTAAAAACGCCTGGAAACCAATTGCTTTCTTCTCGAAAAGACTCGCTCCAGCCGAAACAAGGTATTCTACCTTCGGGCGAGAACTTCTTGCAATCTACCTCACCAACATGGTGTTGGGTAGCCCACTCGCGGCACTTCCTCAGATATTCTTATTCCACATTCTCACACTCTTTCTCTTGAAAGCACGCAGCAAACCGTCTGCGATAGTTGTAGAGAAGATCACATGCTACAAAATAAGATGACAAGCTAGTAAATGAAGAGACATCCATGGACTATCGTTGACAGCTGACAGCGTTAGTCGTCACTGATTATAAGTCAAATAGTGAGCGAGTTGATAATTTTCCCTTGGGATGAGAAATAGAACTAAGGTGTTTTCGATAGATAGGTTAATCAAACCGACGTTCCTATGGAAGTCGATTCTAGGGGGAAGCTAATGTAACAGCTAAGGTTGGTTGGTTAAGAGTCGACCCCAAACAACCAGGCATATGCCAAAACAGTATTGCTCAAGTATTCATTCACTTCCTTATTTTTTATAAGCGTTATATTCCCTATTATCTTATATTGAATGTTGAGAGCCTTTGTTTGTCTGAACAGATAATCCCACGCTCCACTGTGACCGCGCTAAGATCGAAATAAAGACCTATTCACTACTTGTCTGGTTTCTTCTATCAATAACACGAGGGTTACCTATAGGCACGAAATGTTTACTAGTGATGTTTCGGGACTTTACGACATTGATTCTTTTGACTTTAACCATACTTCATTAGCTACAGTCGTTCAACATCTGGTTCAGAGCATAATAAGCATTTCTCAGGTGTGCTACTCATCGTAGTCAGCAATTATGTTGCTCACTGAGCCCAATCAACCGGCTAACATCGCTAAATTTCTCTGAATACACGCTCCTATCCATTAGCGCTCAAGATCCATGCAACCTTGAGCTCATTCTCACTCTCACACTTGAGCCAAAACTGGCCTTTCTGGTTTGTGATTTAATTTACTTGAACATACAGCATACATTATTTGCACAGCTCCGTATACATGACGCAAAACTAAATTATCCGATTTATAAATAACCTGTGATGAAAGAAAACAAATAATGAGGGATGGAGCAGCAATTTTGCACTTCATTCTCCCCTTCCTTCTGCAAATACAGAATCCTGTATGAAAATTGTCGCAATAAACTGACTTTTCAAATAATTTCAAATTCACCACCCAATATAAACCCAATTAATGGATATTTAACGACTTTCCTTTGCTCTTAATTAGGACTTCTTTCGCATCGTACTAAACTATTGTGGCTTAAATGCACAGTATCAAAGCAACATTGACTTATTTCAAATTCAGTGTGACACATATAAGACTATTTATTGTTAATACCCATCAAAAACACTCATCAAATTATTTGCGAATTGTTTTCTCTTTTTTTCACCGCCAACTTAACATGCTTCATAATTATTACAGAAATCGTTTAACTGTTGGTGAATATTAGGCTGACGCAGTTGAAACTTTCGTGTATAATTGCGTTTCTGATGAAACACAAAGAGATTTCAAGAAACCTGTTTATGAATAGGTTTTAAGAAACAGTGGTAATTGATAATTAGTCATCGTTCACAGGCAACGGAACGATTCCTTAGATATATGGCCCAACCTATTAGTTTGCTAAGACTTAACGAAGCCACATTCACTATTATGATCTTGCTAGGTGCTTAGAAAAACCAAAAGGCCGGTTGATGCAACGCGTAAAACAGCATGTCTGATGCAAATTTTGTATGGAATATACAACTGGTCAACACAGTTTATTTCAATGCATTATCCAGTCATTCTGATTGAAGTTGTCATACCTCGTAACCATTTAAGACCTATTGGT